GCATTTTCCAATTCTGGAGATTTGTCTGGGTTTTCGTATTAATGGTTTGCCTTCATATCCTTAGATACACTTCCCCACCCACTTAGACTTTTACTATCAACCCAATGACACACTTTCCACTTTTTACTTATCAATATTTTTCATTGTCCCTAACTTCGTTTCTTCAACCAATTGATAACAACTTCCATTTTCCCCAGATCTCGGTTAGATGCTTGACCTGGATATTTTTCGACACCTGTTATCTGTCACCCGTGCGAGTGTGTGCTCGCTTATGACCTGTTTTCGTATTATTTTTTCTTTCTTTCTTCTTCGTTTTCTCTTTCCTTCTTCCAGATCGCTTGAACGTAAAGAAAGAATTATTCTTAAAACCCAAAATATTTTTCGGCCCTAAATAATTATTAAATGGTTGATAAACCGTAAAAAACAAGTCATATATCTATGAATATTTCTTTCAAATCGTCAGGATGCATGGTGCCACATAGACACAAGTTAGCGGTTTTTTGTAGACATCATCAGATTTTTGGTTTGAATTATTAGCTAAAAAAAGCATACAATATAATAACTTGTTTAATCCATAGCCCAATCATCAGATTCATGGTTTGAATAATTAACTAAAAACATGCATACAATATAACACCCTTCATAATCCATAGCCCAAATAAATAGTTTAAATACCCTACAAAAAGATAACCCTTTATGAAGTCGTCAAAAGCAAACGTTACGACAGTTTTTTTTATATATGCACAAATCCCTTTCATAAAAAAATAAAATAAAAAAATAAATAAATCTCCATAGACATGCAAACTAGACGAAGGTTAATACATCTTCCGTTTAAAATTTAGACACAAACCCATCTTTCCCTGACTTGACATCTATGAAAGTAACTCTATACTGATACTTATTATTAACACCCAACACACGCCTACCCAATTTAAACAATTCGCCCTTTCTGTCACCATGGAAATTTTGATTTCAATTTTTAAAACACGTAAATTTCAGAAACACGTTATTCAAAAAAAAAATTTCGCTTGAAGATGGAACAGAGCTTATTTTAACTCAATTTAATTTAAATAATTATATTGAAGTTTTCGGCTCTTCTTTTGAAACATGAGACTTCTTAAGGTCGCGATTTGGAATCATATTTTTAAATAAACAATTATATTTATGCTCTACTTTTGTATCGAGCACTATTTTTAAAAAATAATAACTAAAATACTAAGGGACTTTGGATTATTTACCTAACCAGTTCCTTCCTATTTTCTATATATTTTCACACACACACACACACACACATATATATATATATATATATATATATATATATATATATATATATATTACTTATTATAAAACACAGATTGTGTGTGTGCGTGTGTGTGTGTGTGTGTGTGTACATTTATCTACTGGATCGGATTTCCTATATTTTTCAAACCGATTTCAACAAAACTTCACAGGACTACGTAAAATTACCTTGGTGGTTCTGACAGCGCCAAAAATTGGAAAAAACACAATTGTTTTTGCACGAAATCAATTTGAAAATACGATTAAGAGGCATTAATGAAAGGGGGACAACTCATATCGAGTTATACTTATTAATATCGAGTTATACTTATAAAACACAGGTTGGTTGTTTGTGTGTGTTCCTTTATATATGGGATCGAATTTCCTACATTTTTCAACCGATTTCAACAAAACTTCACTTTTTTTTGGCAGGTAGTATTTCTTATTGTCTTGCACACTTTTTTCTTTATTTTTACATTCAGAATGCTTTAAAAATTCCATTTACAAGACAATTGTTTATAATAAAATTCGATTCAATCGGTAGACTCGTAACGATTGAAAACAATGTTTTTGTTTGAGTTTGGGTTTGACCAATTCGTAAAAAAAAAGAAAAATTAAACTGATTAAGACATGCGTGTCCGTCAACCTTAAACAATAATCTTTGTCAATTTTATTTTTCAGTCTTTATGATGGTCGATACTTGATCTATCTCTTACTGTTACATCCCTGGGCAACGCCGGGATCTACTGCTATATATATATATATATATATATATATATATATATATATATATATATATATATATATATATTTGGTTGGATAGATGTGAGTTTGTGACCCTGGGTTTCACGCCTTAGCGATCGTCAGAAAACTGATTAATGTTTTAAAAAATTTGTGTTTATGTAGATTGCGTGTATTAGTGTTATTGTGAAAGTGGTGGAGGAAATTCCGTCGTTTCTCTCTCTCTCTCTCTCTCTCACTACATATATATATATATATATATATATATATGTATTTTGTCTATTTTTTTCTCTCTCTCTCTCTCTATATATATATATATATATATATATATATATATATATATATATATATATAATGTATGTATTTTGTCTACCTTTTTCTCTCTCTCTCTATATATATATATATATATATATATATATATATAATGTATGTATTTTGTCTACCTTTTTCTCTCTCTCTCTCACTATATATATATATATATATATATATATATATATATATATATATATATATATATATTCTACCTTTCTAATACTAACCCTCTACCTTGAGTAGGGTTCGAAACTTACTTCAACATTAGTATAAACATATAGACCACGTAGATTTTCATTTTGTCTACATGTTCTCTCTCTCTTTCTCTCTCTCTTTCTCTCTCTCTCTCTCTCTCACTCTCTCTCACATGTAGAAGTCAAATGACTTACTTACTAACATGGCTGTCTCCTTGTATCTCCTTGTCAAAGCAGGCGAGCTAATCTTTCTCATTTATTGGAGAGTACCTAATACACCAGGTGGGTCAGTGCATTTTACTTGAATGGACCTACCCAACACATTTGCATGTGGACTTTATTCACCCATACCAATATTCTACATCACACACTCTCTCTTTTGCTCTCTCTCTCTCGCTCTCTCTCTCTCTCTCTTTCTCTCTCTCTGCTTGAGTGTGTGATTGATGTCATAACCATTTCACACTATCCCTCTACCTTCAGTGTCACTCGAGCCTTGTTTTGCGTTAACAGTAAATATATACCACATACATTTTCATGTTGTCTGTCTTTCTTCTCTTCTCTCTCTCTTTTTCTTTCCATCTCTCTCTCTCTCTCTCTCTCTCTCTCTCTCTCTCATACTTTCTTTCTTTCTCTTGTATGTTTGTGGGGGGATGTTTTTACGTTGATTTTATCACCGCCGATTTAATTCACTCGAATCGCAGCTACACTTGTAAATTTATGTAAATTTTATTTTTAGATCTACCATCAGTTTAAGCACTCGTTCCGCCAACACCATATCAGACGAGGAATGAAATCAGTAGTCTCTACGACCTGATGAATAATAATATAATTTTCTGTTCATCACCAGACAGAACTTGTATTCTGTCAGTTGATATTTGTGACGTAGGCATCACCTGGAAACATTGCAAATGTAAATACTTAAGACATGGATTAAGAGATTTCGTAACTCTGAAGCAGCCAGCGATTTAAGTTAAAGTCGCTTGGTTGCCAAAATCAAGAAGCTAAAGCCTGTAGATTAGCAAGATTCGAGTTAAGTACTGCACATGGACGGATGGTGCCGAGGGAATCTCTCTTGACAAGCCATTTACAAGAAAGCGGTGGCTCTAGGTAATAAACATTTGTTTCAAGCGGACGATTTCAGCCTAAAACCGAAGACCTTTCATTCTAAATCTGATTGCGTCGGGTTTTGAAGACTTGGCACTGGTTCAACATCGCCCGGAGCATTAAATATCCAGACACTAACGTTTGATCTCGAAAAATAGATTCAAATACATGAAATTAAAATTCAGGATGTTTGGGAAGTGAAAGCGAATAATAAATAATTGCTCTTTTCGAAAGAAGTTAATTTAAAAAATACAAATTATGTTACAATAATAAATGAAATATAGATATTTTTTATCGCGATATGTGTACTGCAGCCGCCGTAGAAGTGGTGTTTATTGGGCAAGATAGCCTGATGAAGCCCAACCCTCTCCAGGACGGTTTTGAATTCAGAGTGTTTCCTTCTCCTAGACTGGTTGTCACTCAAGGTTATTGAAACCAGTCTGTCCTGCAATTTAACCATAGCTGTTTTTTTTTGGGGGGGGGAGAAGCACGTAAGGCTATTAGCACGTAAGTGAATGGTTTGGAATCGACTGGAATTCGAACTCGTCTCTCCAATTCCTCAATCCGAGCTGCTATCCATAACAAAACAACAGAGAGACGTTTAAGCTTGTAGTACTACAGTCGGCAGCCGCTCGAATCGGGATCTTTATCCTCTTTTCTTACTTCCCTTTCTACCCTCTAGTGGCGGTGGTGGAGATGGCTGTGAACGCCTGGTCTTTCTCCTAAAGTGTTGTCAACGCCATTCGCGTGGATTTGATTTTTGTGGACAAAAAGTTTCAATGCAATTTGACTACTGCTCATAATTGAGGTTCGACCATTTCTTTTATAGTCAAGTAGTTAGAAAGGGGAGATAACTATTGTTGCCTTCATCACACTGACCTTAGTTTTTTTTTTACTTTTATTTTTTACGGCTTATCAACATTTTGGAGATTATTTAAAACCTGAAAATATTTTTAGATTGTAGGAATTTGTGGTGGGGAGGGGAGATACAAATCTTACTAATTAACCCATTATAAGGAGATAATCATACATGTTCTAGCTGGTGTCCGGGAGAATAGGTGGGTTTATACCTCTCCCAAAGGTAATTGCGAAATGTGAATAAAGCGAACCGGACTGGAACTGGAACTCCACTCACCGAGTTCTAATTCCGAATCCTTATCCATTACACCAGCCGCACACCGAAGCTTGCGACAGCTGTTGATTAACTTCGGTGATTTTACAAGTATCGGGGTTTCGACGCGATGTGGCGTAAGTATTCAGCAGGTTGACATAAATCAAGTTTTGGAACTGGAATTATAATTCGGCTCTCTAATTTCCAATTCCATGTTGTTATCCGTTATGTCACCAACTCATCCATGCTTACAGGGTCTGGTATTCCTAAACGGCTACCCATCTAGATACTGTCCAGGCTCTACGTTGCTTAACTTCGGTGATCGTAGGAGAACCGGTGTTTCAACGTGATGTGACCGTAAACTAACTCTAGATTATTATTCTCTCGCTTTGATATATATATATATATACCATCTCAGCAAGAAGGTAGAATATGACACAAGGACAAAAACTCTCTCTCTCTCTCTCTCTCTCTCTCACACACACACACACACACACACACAAGCAAACACACACTGTTATGGGACCTTTCCCATAATAACATAATGGACTATTCCATACGTAATAAATACTGCGCCTCAAGAGGAAGCAGGGAGTTCAGTCTGAAGTCGGGCGACCGGGTGACTGGCTGATCAGTTGAACTCTCTTCCTTCGAGCGGGGAGGAACCCGAACGAGGCTCCGCCGAAGTGCGGAATCTCTTTCGGGGAGTTAAACCGACCCTGAACACGTTTATACGGGTTCAAAAGTAATATTTTTGGCCGAACCCACGGGCTCGGAGATCCCACGTTAAACCGGCCTTGTGCCACATGATGCCCTCGTAGGGGGTGACTAAATACTGTTCAGTATAAAGTCTGGAGTGAGGTCCGTCAGGAGTCAGTCAGTCTAGTCAGAGGCAAACCGAAACAGAGTCACGTTCAGACAATTACTACTAAACCTGATTGTTCATACTAACACTTTCTACTTCTCTGTATATATTCCTGTTTGTAATATATCTGTGTTATTCCATATCCGTGTTCGAGTTCTTATTTATTGGTTCTGCCTTGGACTATCACCGTGGTAGAAGGAACCGGACCATAACACACACACACACACACACACTTACACACTTGTATAGATAGATAGATAATCAATCTCTAAAATAATGGATTTCTTTTTATTTATCTATCACTTTAAATATCATTTTTGTGGATACTCATATTTGTGTAGACGTTCCGTTTATTTATTAAACAGTGTATTTATTTATTTTCGTCCATCGGCCTGAATATTCGAGAAATCTTATTAAAGAAAAATATGCGTTCTCTAGCAGGTTTCGCACCTGCCTCACAAAAGGTCTAAAACGGTAGGGAACATTTGTACAGTAATGTGTTAATTTCCTTATTACAATTATTGAAAATAATTTTTTTTTTTTCTGACGACCATGGGAGGGTGCAATCCTGATCGGGGGCCCTGCCCAGTGCTATGTGAACCTCACTTACCAACATTTGCTTTTTTTTTCTACCTATATTTGCATACGTTACAAATTAAACTAACCATAACTATCAAAGTATGAACAGTTTTTGCATATTCTGACGTCATTCTGCGTTCCTTTTTTTCGTGCAAATCTGGGAATTTCTTTTGCTTATGCTAAGTCTCGAAAAAAACAACAACAAAAAAACAATATATACATTCAATATTTCTTATCCGTATCCTCAAATTGATGATAAAAATTCCCGCAAGACATTTTTTGATTTATTTATAATGAAATGATCTATTATGACATCTCTAATTTGTATTTAGATACATTGTATTTATTTTCAAATTTTCTACTTGAATTCTTCACCTGTATTGTACGTGATCCACTATTGTACCTAATAAGGTTAAAATAATATTTCTATTTTATATAAATACAACATTATCAAAATTGAGATGTAGTAGAGAGGGTGTGTCATAGATTGTGGGCATGCGACCCTTGCACATATATATCCGACCCTGCATATATATATATATATATATATATATATATATATATATATATATATATATTTATTTGAAAATATTACATAAAAAACATGTCAAAAATCTCTACAAAATTGCAGTCGTGTTTCGATGCGTATACAACGCATTTCATCAGGCGATGATTACTGACGAGGAAAGATTTAATTATATTTAAAAGCAAAATGCAGCCTCTTTATACGAAAAAGGAAAAACAAGAAAATAGGAGGGGTGGTTATAAGATTTGTGGGATTTGCTTAGGTCAACCAATCAAATAAGAGATACGTTAAATTTAAACTGAGCGAAGAAGCAAAAGTTAAATTATTTTCCATAAATGGGTCGTCATGATCCCAAAGTTTGAAATCAACAGACATTAAACAGGAGCAGATGTGAATGGATACACATTATGTTACGGTTTTTTGGGTATATTAACGCCTGTAACTAGTGAGCGAGTCAGAATGACTTATTTCCCTTTGTAGTCGACCAATGGAAGGTTGACCAATCAGAAGCCGCCCAACACTGTATTCGTCGTGTATAAAGGCGGCCATCTTGTTTCGTCTACCGGAAGGACCAAAGGCGACCAGGAGAAGGATGAACTACACTCTGCTGTGATATCCACTGCGAACCTAAAGTACGCTTTCCTACTGTCTCCGAAATATTCACTGCCAACCTCTAGATTCAATACTCAAGGACAACCGTCATGAAAATGTCTAACACATTATACATTTAGACGGTGTCATTTCCTAAGAAAAATTAAGTTGTAATCTCACAAAAAAACAAACAAGTTATATGGTTTGTGAGTCTTCTATATTGAAAAAAAGAACAGGTTTATAGTTCATAAATAATTAGCTTCTTTAAGAAACAAGTAAATAGTTTAAACGTATAGAAATCATTCACTCGCCAGTAATTTAGAGTCGCTTGATAAGATGCATTGTATACGCATCGAAACATGACTACAATTGTGCAGTGATTTGTTTATGATGTAATATACTACAATAAGACAACTTGCCAGACGGCCTAACACCTTAGACAAGAGGAAAAAAATCCCGAAAAGGGCAAGAAAAAAGAATCAAAGACAAACACCTAACCACTGAATAAAGTAGACAACACCCAGGCTACCCAGGCAGAGCAAAAAAACGCTTCACAACGTCATCACCAAGGACAGATCAATTCAGGCACTGAAGTTTCATCCTCATCTTCAGAAGACTAGAACGGGTGTATATATATATATATTAAAGACATTTTTATGTTTAACGTTCTTTTTTATAGATACAAGTATTTAAGTAAATGCTCTGTTTATAATAAACAGTATTAAATAACATTTACCGGCCTGAATGTCTGAGAAATGTTCGTAGAAAATATTCGTCCTTCGACAGGATTCGAATCTGTATCCTATACAAAACTGACATAGCCTGACATGCCTTTTAACCGATTCGGCCACAGGGGATCATTCGGTTAGCAAGGTCGAATTTACTGCTTTTAAACTTCAATCATCCATGAATCTCTCATGTACATTCATATCTGCTCATGGCGTATCAAATGTAAACAAATGACGTTGCATCATTTAATCAATTAAAAGGCTATATGATGGTCCCATATAGGATACAGGTTCAAATCCTGTCAAGGTACGAATATTTTCTATGAAAATTTCTCGGACATTCAGGCCGGTAAACGTTATTTAATACTGTTTATTATAAACAGAGCATTTACTTAAATACTTGTATCTATAAAAAGAATGTTAAACATAAAAATGTCTTTAATAAATTGTCGGACTTTGTCCAATTCTTAATGTATATATATATATATAAATTCGTGTATGACAATTTTTTTTCTGTGTGTCTCCGCATAAATAGATAAAATCTGGTTAAAAACGACAAGGTACTAAGGTTGTTTGTATTTAATTTTTCTTGTGTTCTGGATATAAATTATGTAGAAATTGTCCAGAAAAAATGCAACTATACGAATGCAAAACAAATTAAATAAAGAAATTAACAGCAGTACTTAATTAGTCGCTTTGAACGTAACTTGTATAAAACTGGGATTGCTTCCATATATATATATATATATATATATATATATATATATATATTGTGTATATTTACGCAGCATATTTTCATTCAAACTGGTTTGGTTAGTATATAATAGTATATGTATATTCCCAGACAACTAAAGCTGGTCGCAAATGAGATTGACCGTACATGTGAAAATAAAAAATATTTGAAAAAAAATTTGGTATTTTCCTTAATCAATTTTCTAAGCCTACCAATAAATTAATCCGCGAACTTGAAAGGGTCACAACGAAAACTAATCACATGTCTAAATTATTTAACCAAACCTGTTTGAATATATATATATATATATATATATATATATGAAATATAAAAAAAAGATAACCCTTTATGAAGTCGTCAAAAAAAAACAAATGTTAGCGACTTATGACAGTTTTTTTATATACACAAAACCCTTTCAGAAAATAAATAAATAAATCTCCATAGACACTTAACCAGACTAGACGATGTCATCTTCCGTTTTAAATTTAGGCACCCCAACATAAACCTGACTTGACCTCTTTGAATGTAACTGAGATATTGATACAAATTATTAACCCTTACGCCCCTTTTCTTTAAACAATTGCTCTAGCCGTTACCATAGTAACTTTAATTTCAATAATGAATATGCTTATAAAACGCGTAAATTTCAGAAATAAGTTATTCCAAAATAAATTTCGCTTGAGGATGGAACAGAGCTTAGTACTTTAATTCAATTTAATTCAAATAATTATATTGAAGTTTTCGGCTCTAGTTTTGAAACATGAGAACTCTTATGTAGCGTTGGGATCATATTTTTAAATAAATAATTATATATATATATATATATATATATATATATATGTTTAGGATTCATTAAAGATAAATACATACACACAATGTGATGTGAAATGGGGACACACATAAATTTTAGCCTTACGCGAATTTATAAAAAGTTATTGGTTCATTGATATCTTTATAATAAGAATATCGTGGGTTTTAGAAATAATTGACTATAACAACAACGACGTATTCTTTGTCCTTTGACATCAGAATTGATTTCGCTACTATTTGGGTGGTGAAAGTTTTACAAGTAAGAGCTCAATCTTCAGTTACTCCGAAAACACCTATATATCTTTTAAAAACGGAAGGCATATCGCAGCCCTCTCGCATGTCGGCCCACCGGTACAACCACAGAACCTAACCTGAGCTATCTTGCAATAAAAGGGTTGTTAATGCGAACGGTGCTTCAGCTTCAGGACGTGATTAATCTTGTCGTGTTTATTGGTTTCTGAAGGTGTCGTATAAAAAAACGAGTCAACACCAAATAAATCCATTCGTATTCTGACCATTTTTTATTGAG